TCGGTCGCTTCTACAGAAATGTGTTTAGACGTGAAGAGACCGTTTAGTGTCTCCCTTGCTGTCGCGGCGCGTTTTGAAGTCGGTCTGTTCCTCGTTTTGCGAAATGGTAGCTAATGGTAACCAATAAACCACGTTGCCTTCAGGTTATACACTCCGAAAGACAGGATAGACATCTGTTTCGATGGATGAAATTTTGAGTATTTCAATAGAAATTATAAAAATCAATATTAAGAAATATACAGGGTTATATTAAATTATTTCAATATAAATTATACGAATCAATATTTTAAAAATATACTGGGATGTGCTATCGTGGATAAATTGTACAAACCAAGATGGTAAAACTTAATAGTAAGTTAACCAACTGGTGAATACACTGTTCGTTAGCTCAAGGGGGACACCTATATGCTAAGCCACCCATTCTACAAGGTTTGAAACAAAATATATGTGAAATCAACATAGTAAAGTAACCTACTGGCGAATTGGCGCTGTTCGTTACTCCCGTTGGTCATCACCTCTATACTCATCGAAATATTTACCTAAGAGGGTACAACCTGTGTATATCTAGAATAGAATCAAATCAACATCAACACAGTAGTTAACCAATTGACGAATTGGCGCCGCTCGTTAACTCCGTTGGTCATCAACCTAAATAAGAACATAAACAACAACACAGTAGTTAACCAACTGGCGAATTGACGCTGTTCGTTAACTCTGTTGGTCATCAACCTAAATAAAATATATCTTGATAGCAGATTAACGCGGTCTGCGTTTGGACGAGACTCAAATCTTTGCTAATTGTTTATTATTCATTTAAAGTATGAAAAATAAAAGAGTTTAAATATAAATTTGTCTGGTTTTATTTATTAATTTGCACCAAACTTTGCATCGAATCCTGGTTTATCTTAATTAACATTATCACAACGTGGGTATAAAAATTATCAATTAATTAACATCTACAATATAGAGGTTATTGAAATCAATACGATTTTCAATATAAAATTAGCTATAACGTGTAAAACACCCTGTGTAATCGCATACTATTTGGTATTGTTATATTGGGAAAAGCGAGGGCAATTTAAATGTATAATAAAATACTAGGTATCCCGAAAAAAAACTAACTTTGATATGTATCATTTTTGGAAAACCCTGTATAATTAAAATTATTTTTAAATTGTCTTTTCTGATATACACCTTGCTGCTATAGAGACTGTAGCGTTCGGCAAAAGTAACATTGTAAAGAAATTTAATAAAAAATCACTTGATGCCAAATCCGTAAAATACAGATGCTCACCGACGTATATAAGGGGGGAGTTTAAAATCCTGCGAATCCCGCCAATGCGAAAAATAATTGTTTTAAAAGCGATAAACTCAAAAATTTTCGGAGTTATGTTTCAACTTCCCCCCCCCCTTTAAAAAGGTATAAATAAGTCTCTGCAGATGATTCAGAATAATTAAGTTTTATTATCACAATCGTAATTTATTGTGAATCAGTTCAATGTGATCGTTTTTATGTCATAAATTAAACATTCTAGTAAAGATGTATCAATCTATCCAATTACCAACTTGTATTTTTTCTAAAGTCAATAAATATGGGCATTCTGAAACTTCTAGGCTGTTATGGCCTCTTTAGAGCACGTTACCATAACTTTAACCATCGTCTTGATTTTTCCCGTAACTATGAAGACTAGATAAATTAGGTAACTCGATTTTTTAGTGTTTTGAGTTTTCTACTTTACTGCAACCTTCGTGAGTTGCTCCTTGTAATGCTACGAGTGAATAAGTAGTAGAACATCTACGACTTACCCACGAAAGTTGTAGCAAAGTAGATAACTCAAAACACTAAAAAATCGAGTTACCTAATTGTAGTATTAAGGGGACGATATAAGGAGGCAATGACCAAATTTGAAATTTCTGTCCGTCTTTTTATAAAGTTCGCTAAATTGACTGTAGTTGGCAGGTCGAACGTCACTGACGTTAATTTTATATATAAGTTAATGTAAAATAAAGTAAAATAAAGAAAATTTGTTTGTTTATAGAGTTTTAACGTTAGATAAAGAGTTGCTACTGTTATTTTTTGTTGAATCCCAATTTTGTCATTGTAAATGTTTTTTATAGGATCCTAAACGGTTAGAACAGTGACAGCATGTATATCGTTCCTAGGGCTGATAAAGCACTTTCTAGAGATGATGCTGTTCTACAGTTTTTAGAAGATATTTCCAAATATAAGACTCTTTTTACTGATGGTACTGTTAGCAAAATAAAAAGGGAAAAGCCGAAATTAAAGGATGTGGCAATATTATATTGTTAGAAATTTGGCTATAAAACAAAAACAAACACTAAAATTCTAATTGTAACCAGCGGCAAATACAATCCGAGCGTTTCGGTGATCGTATCAAGACTGACTGCTCCCCATACGATCGGTAGCGGTTAGAGACATTCAGAGTTTAATAAATGAATAGGCATCTTTTTTTTATTGGAATAATTATACAAGAATTAATAATCAAAATTGAAATAATTCAACAAATATTGAGAACAGTGGATCTAACAATATACATTCCCAAATCTACCTTTATGATTGTATTATAACAATAAAAATCTGTTAACTGTGTTTTATTTTGCTCTTAACTACTATATTTAGGCATAATTCAAAAAAAATTACACACAAAATTGTACTTAACCAAACTTTACCATTTAACAAATCTTTTCGAATCGGGTAATACGTACCTAAATTTTATATACATAAAATTAAATAATTTATCAATTAAAACATGCGCGACTTATTTATAAATAAATACAACAGTATAGTCTGTACTTTATTTGGCAATAAACAAGTTTATTTTTATTATTTTGACAAAATTATGTAAAACTCCCATAAGAAGCTATGTATTTTGAATAGCGTTACTAGCACCAGCGCCCTTGTGGTGAATTAAAAAAGCTCATATAGTGTTCGTTTTTTGGGACCATATTTACAGTATGCCGATTCGCCTCCTTATCTCTAGTCTTCATACCCGTAACTAATGACTAAATACTATAAAAGCGAGTAAAAAAAAATATCCTACAGCTGCTGCAAAATAACTTTCGGTATAAAACTATTGATGGTTGGGTAACTGTTTTACGTTCTGCTGGTAGCGATTTGTTGCCTCATATGCAAACGCGGACCTTGAATGAATGCAAATTATGTTACAATATGGAAATAGGAACTAAATGAAATTAATACTTTGTTAAATGGTTATAAAACTGTCCAAAAAAACAATGTATTTATAGGCACCACATTGACATCCTCATGGAAGTATGAGTAGGTAATTCATTTTATTATAAAAACATTTTATTTAGACCACTAATTTTTTATTTTTTTATTTCAAACCAGTAAAACTTTTACCAATGAAAAAACTGATTAAATAAATGGGTTGAAAGCTCCAAATCATTTAATAATATGTCACTGCATACTACAAAAACAATGCAGGCATATATTATGTTTCTATTAATACCATTGCTGTCTAGAAACACGACTTTATTCTTTTAAGTCAATTTGACAACAACAAAAAAACGGCGAAACAAGTATTAAAAGTCATTTTAAAAAACCGACTTTAAAATCGTACAGATGCCATCGCCCCATCTTAACCAAATTTATATAATAATAATAATAATAATAATAATAATAAAATAATAATAATAATAATAATAATAATAATAATAATAATAATAATAATTAATATTAATAATAATAATAATAATAATAATAATAATAATAATAATAATTAATAATAATAATAATAATAATAATAATAATAATAATAATAATAATAATAATAATAATAATAATATCGTCTTTATTATTTCCAATATAAATTTACAATTTTTTCATAATTTTAACAATTATACAAGAATTATTATTGAAAATAAAGGGCGAAGTTCAGAATTGAGAAGCAGGATCCACCACAAAATCTGCTCTTCCACTTAACCCAAATATAAATAATAAGCATAAGCTAGTACAAAACTAGAATGGTAGGATACATTAAATGAATTTTAATTAATTATTTAATTTTAGTATTTGAGGTGTAATTAATTTTGTTTATTTAACAAAAATAGTTTTAAGCAAGGTTTGAACCTGGTTATATTTAATTTTATTAGGTTATTAGGTAACTGATTGTAAAGATGGCAGATCTGATATCCGAATGATCGACGAAAGAATTCTGTATTGAACGAGGGTATTGACAGTGATCCCTTATCTCTAATATTTATGTTATGTACGTCGGTGCGGTGGGTTATTTTTCTATGAAGATATGGAGGTTTTTTAGTTACAATGATTCTATGAAAAAGACTAAGTGTGTGAAGTAATCTCCTATTCTCCATATTTAACCATTCTATTTCTCTTAATTTATAAGAAATTCTTTGTTGTCGGCGAATACCGTATATTAACCTCAAACATGAGTTTTGTACTTTTTGAATTTTCTTCTTATACTGAATAGTTAGATGTGGACCATAGACAGAACACGGCTGTCTTCAAGAGGTGAATGGTATGAAAAAACTGCCGCCAAAAACGGGCTAATGGATTTTGTTCTACGGGGGGATACCTTTCAAATGCACTTTTGGGCGAAATCGGACCTGATCATGTATGAAAATTTTCGATATAAAGAGAAAATTTTTTTTCACCTTTTGCTGACCTTTGCTGCCTACAATCAAATTCGACTCAGGAATTATATTTTATCTATTGTGCCGCCTTTTCATTATGTACAAGCTATTCATGGCAAGCGAGCAAAGGGCTCTGCACGGGTGTTATTATATATTTCAATTCCAGGAATTTCTCATGTTTACTTTTCTGTCAGCCCTGCGCTAATCACAATAAGTACTCGCGAACATTTATTGTACTGTTTACAAAATCAGTCGGTAGGGCTCTCTTATTCTCTGAAACCTTTCTGCTTATCAGTTATCCACGAGATTTTGTCATCACCAGCCGATTGTGTGTGAAATTTTTTCGTAACCTAGTATTTTCCACTATGGCTGACCACAAGTGTCCGCACGACGAGAACAGAAAAAAAGTGTGCGCCCCGTGCGGTAAAAAAATTACTTGTGGCACGAAAAAACTAGAATATTTTCTGATAAACGAGCGACATTTAAACTTGGTAAAAAAGTTTGTAAATCCAGATTATAATCTTTGTGATTCCAAATTTCCTGTGAGTATTTGTGACACATGCAGAAGAACTCTTAACGACTATGACAAAAATAATTCTACGAGGCCACTCCCAAAAATGCCAAATTATGAGGATCTTTTATTACCAAAAGCAACAAGAACTACTCAGGACACCTGCAATTGCTACATTTGTCTCACTGGGAGATTCAAGGCCCACACAAAAATTATAACGGGTAGAGGTGCTATGCGGAACTTTGAGACGGTGATAGATAGTAGTAATGGGCTAAATGGCGCCTCGAGAATTGATAAACTGCCATGCAAAATGAAAAGTGACCAAGAAAAGAGCATCATGAACGTTTGCAAAATTTGTTTTCAAGAATTTGGGCGTGGAAAGGTCCATCCCTGTGGTTCTGCCTCAGTTGTTCGTGATAATTTTCAAAATCTAATAATCAGTAAGCTACCTCAGAAACAGCAAGAACAAGTGGCTTCACATATTATAAACCAGAAAATAGAATCAGCTGGAGCTACTACCAGAACGAATGCTACATTGGAATTGAGTACGTCGGGGTCAAAATCCAGAATTACTATTAATCCAGCCTCAAGTTCACAGGTAACTTTTAGTTCTGAAACTCTAGACAATTTCCAAGACAATATTGGAGCCTCACAGAAGCAAATGAAACAGGTCACCAACCTCCTGCGATCGTCTGCTGGGAAAAAATCTGTACCAGTGTATTTTTCCAAACATACTTCAGAGCGTTCTAAATTATTGGAGGAAATCTACCACAATTCTATGCTCGAATTCGATATTGAAGGTTCCAAGGCGAAAGAGCAGAGACCCGTCATTTGGGCGAACGCATCTGAATTGTTGGATGCTGTGGTTGAGAAGCGGATTATTATTGGAAATGTCGTGGTGAAAATTATGGCTGACGGGGGCCAAGGGTTTTTCAAAATCTGTATGACTGTATTGCCTGAAGATTACTTTTGTGAAAATTATGAAGTATCGGAGAAAAAGAGAAAACTTTATGCAGAAGGTGGTAGTGTAGGGGTGAAACCGAAATTGTGCAGTGTAAATAGATTGCTCATGATGTGTACTGTGCCGAACATCAAGGAATCGTACGATAATTGCAAACTGAAAATCAATGATATATCTTTTAAATTTGTTTGCGATTTCAAGCTGTTATTAATAATTAATGGGCAGCAGACAGCTACGTCGTCTCACCCTTGTCCATTTTGTTTTGTCAGTCTCAAAACATTGCGAAATTGCCAACAACTTGATACTATAGAACGCACCTCAGAGTGCAATGACCAAAACTCCGATTCTGAGATAGACGATAGTGATCAGCCCCTGAGATTGAAGACTTATGGGGATTTAAAAAAAGATTATAAGATGTTCCTTTCTGCTGGAAACGCCAAAAAATTTGCCAAACATTACCACAGCACAATAAATCCCCCACTTTTTATCGAGAATGACGACCGTTTGGTGATTGAAAAATGTGTGATACCAGAACTTCACATTCTGCAGGGGTTTACAAATCATCTTTTTTGGAAAGGACTGGTGCCCCTGCTTGGAAGAGAAAAGGCACTCGTTTGGGCACTAAAAGTCCAAGTGATTTCCAAGAATTACCACGGGGAAGTGTTTGAAGGTAACGCGTGCCGTAAATTGCTGAAAAATGCTGACAAACTCAATGATCAAGATATCTACGGCCATGTTGGGTATTTCAAAATTCTGCCCTTTATTCAAGCTTTTAAGGAAATGAATAAACTTGTGGACTGCTGTTTTTCCACAGGCCCAGTTTATTCAGACATAGAACCAAGAGTAAACGAACTACGCAGAGCATTTTTGGCGACTGGAATTTCAGAAACATTAAAAATCCACGTACTGACGAGACATTTAACCGATTGTCTGGAATTTTTATCTGGTTTTGGATTAGGAGATTGGTCAGAGCAAGCTGGTGAATCCGTGCACCATGAGTTTCTGAAATTTTGCATAGATATAAGATAAATTCTATTCAAGATTCTGGTTACCCAGACAAGTTGAAAAAGGCAGTTGTTGCGTTTTCTTCTCAACATATATGATCAATTTATGTTAAAAATGAACTTTATTTGTTAATTTATTTGTTGAGAGGTTTTTATTTTTGTTACTTTTTTGATGAATTTGTTGTCAAAATAAACTAGTTGTTGTTTCTTGTAGTTATCCAAGTTTAGTAATCTTTTTGTAAGATCACGCACAGGCAGATTTGTTTCTAACGATTAATTTACAGTCATTATTTTCATTAATTCTGATTTCTCTCAAGCTCACATAGTTGAAAATTAGCTATTTCTTAAATGTCAAAAATAAAAAAAACATTTATATTACGACTATATATAACTATGAGTTTTTTAATAGAATCCCCTCCCCCCCCACCCCACAGTTGCCATTCCTACTAAAATGTGCTTTAGTAGCTGCAAAAGACTTTTCTGAAGTATATACTATGCTATCGCAACCGAAATTGGGTTGTAGTCTGTAGAAGAGAGCACAAATTGGAGAAAAAATTTTTTCCTGAAATTGAAAATATAGATAATGTCCCCATTTACATAAATGATCAGATATGATTTCCCTGAAAAGTGTTTTTCAAAGGTATCCCCCCGTAGAACAAAATCCATTAGCCCGTTTCTGGCGGCAGTTTTTTCATACCATTCACCTCTTGAAGACAGCCGTGAGAACTTGCGTAATTAAATATTGAAAGAACCAAAGATTCACATAACTTCACTTTCACGTGAAATGGGAGAAAATATCTGTTACCATAAATTATTTTTAGTTTAGAATAAGCACATCTTATAAGTTGGTTTACATGTTTTTCAAACCGCAAGTTTGTATCCAACCATACTCCAAGATTTTTTACTTCGTTAACTACAGTTAAAGACACATTATTTATTTTAATATTAAGTCCGCCCGAAACATTTAATTTATTATTTTCTGGTCCAAAAAGAATGACGTTTGATTTACTTGAATTTATGATTAAACACCACCCCTGAGGTACCACCGTACTAACAAAAAAAATAAGCATAGAAATCGGACAAGGTGGTAAAGAATTATCGCTAAATATATATAAAAAATGAAGTGTTTGAGGATTTTTTCATGGACCCAATTTTTAAATTTTGACCAAATTTATGTGGGACCACCCCTGAGGCACTCCCTTACTAAAGAAAAAGAATCATTGAAATCGGACACCGTGTTAAAGAATTATCGCTGAACATACATAAAAAAAATATATACCGACGTATTGAGAACCTCCGCCTTTTTTGAAGTCGGTTAAAAACGTAAAGATCAGCCACGAACCATTATTTACACAAGCCAACAGACATTTTGGTGCCTTTTTTAACTGTTCCTGGGTATTTTTTGGGTGTAGAATCCAAAATAGCCATCAGATTTAGATTTTAATATTTACTATTTTTTAACTTGTATATATTTTACGTTATGACTATTACTATTGCCAGTTAAAAAAATAAAACAAAAATACATAGAGTTAAGTATTTATTACAAAAAGCAGATTTTAATGAAAGTCTACGTAAGTACGAACAAACTGCTCGCGTCGTCTTATACCACAGCGGGCAGACGTTATATCAATGAGTACGAGATATAGAGTGAATTGTGTCATCTTTCTAGCAGATGTTAATATGCCGTTCTCGAGTCCATGGATGTTGAGATCGTTAAAGTTTCCTACTGGAACACCAGAGGATTCGGCTAAATTTCTGGATTTAGGGGTAGCTTACTCACCAGCGTCGGTCTTCAAACTTCGTAGTTAGAAATAAATCGACGTTAAATAAATTAATAATAAAAAAAAATATTAGACTTATTATTTAGACAGACCAATATTTTCCAGATTTAACAATTTATCAGTTGTCAGTGATTTATTATGTATATTATTTTTTGTCCCATTTTCACTTTATCACTATTGACTTTATCATTTTAAAATAATGTATTTCAATAAATATTGTTTTGAAATATATTTTTTTCAATTTTGTTAAAAATACATGAAAATAAATCACGCTGAAAGTAAATAACGGAACAATGCGTTTTAATTCGCTTTTTGTTTGTTCAAAAAACATATGGAAACAGAGCCAGCGTACGATAAGATATTTTCAATTTTATCATATCCAGTTTGGGGTTCTTATCTAAAAAATATAACTAATATTTATTTTTTTATAAAGGCCTGTTTGTACAATATGATTGATTGAATTAAAAGAAATTAACAATGGAAAGTTTAAGCTACATTCAAGAAGATTTCTTTTGTATGCCAATCTCAGGTGTCAAATATACAATCGCGACACGAAATCTGCCACAAGCAGGTATTTAATATAAACGATATTTGCCAAATTTCATGAAATTAAGGTGAGTGACACTCATAATCTCAAAAAAAGCAACTATTATCAGTTTGGGTATTTGAGAATGAGTCGGCTCCAACAAAAGTTGTTCGTAAAAAAAGCCAAAACAAAAAGATGGTCACCACTGGAGGATAGACAGAATTGTACACTAGTTTGTTTGCACAGGTTCTCTCAAAGGTTCGCGAAAAACGTCCAAGAGGGAGGATCATCTTGCATCAAGTAACGCTCGGGCTCGCACTGCTGCTCGAACAAATGAGTTTTTGAGGGCCCAAAACATAGAAATAATGGGTCAATCGCCATATAGTCCAGACTTAGCACCTAATGATTTCTTATTTCTCGGGTAAAGGATAAATTACGGGGTTTATGTTTTATATCAGCCGAAGAGGCGGTTGCTGCCTTTAAAAATGAAATAAACAAATTGCGGCCAGAAGATTGGAGAAAATGTTTTCAAGAATGATTTTCGCTTATGTAAAAATCTGCATATGCATTGACTAGGAAGGAGAATACTTTGAAAAATTATAACTAAATATTTTTGTAAAAAAAATTATGTTTTACTTTATGGTGCGTTGACACAATGCTATTGTGCTCGGCCGAGCCGACTAGGTTGCCTGCTCGGCTGGTACCAGTGTTGCCAACCTTTAAAAATCAAATTTCCCTCAAGCAAGTCCAAAAATTCCCTTTTTAAAAAAAAATTCCCACAAATGCATAAAATACTGACAAAACGTGATAATAGAAGTCTTTAGTAGATGGTAGATAAAATTTACGAAAAACTTCTGAAATGCGATATTATGCTCTGCAAAAAATGCAAATATTGCTATTTCTAGGGGTTTTACTTGATCATTGTGTTGATCTGGGGCTCTGACAAATGTGGAAACACTGGGTATACTTCTTACAGGAGTCATTTTTTAAATGTGTTTCTGCCCTTTTGCATGCTTAACTAGCTCGGATTCTCCGCATACAAGAGTGGTGTTACAGACAGAACATCTTATGAGATTAAAAATTTTATATTAGAAATCAAATTTTGAACCATATTATTTACCTGCACTTTTCTAAATTTCCTTTTATTGAGGTCAACCAATTTTTATAGAGAGGATTATCTAGCAATGCATTTTGAAACACTGGCTTTATTTCTGTATTTCTTTTTGGGGGGTCCATCGTTTTCAACTGATGAACTAGACATTTCAAAGCTATATTTACTCACTGACTTTCGCACCAACCAACACTAGTTCAATCAGAAATTTACAAAATAAACTCGTTCTTGGGTATTGAAGTATTATTACAGATACACTACCTAACATTACCCTTACAGTGGGTACAGTGACAACAAAACAAATTGTATTTATATTTCGGTGAATTCCCTAAACCTCAAACTCGATTCATTCCGAAGCTAGTCACTGGTCACTATAACAGGAGCGAGTTCAGATAATACGTTGGACGCGCCAAATAATTGGTACATCTTTATCTAAAGAAACACAAATAACAAGGACAGGAATATTACCAGGGTGCGCTCGCGAACGTGCCTCGAAACGCATTTGAATCATTGAAATTTTTGAGTGCGTTCAAAACTAGCACCTTCACGATGAAAATGGACCGTGAATGCGTTCTCTCTTTATCAGTACTCCTGCCAAAATAATACTATCTCTGTTGCCAACAGAATATTTTTGAGTTTTTTTTGGATAGATGCGATTAATTATGAAGAAGAAATATCCCACGAATATTGCAATTTTGGTAAAAATTTCCCTTTTCCCTTTGATGTCGCTAATTTCCCACGAATCGGGAAATTTCCCACGAGTTGGCATCACTCGCTGGTACTCGCATGAAACTCGTACTGTATAAACAGACAGCCAAGTACACTCGCAAGTTGTTTTTTGTCGTACGAGTTAGTCAGTCGCCTTCCAACTTTCAGCGTGCGAGTTCCATGCTAGTACTTGTAAACATGGCAAACAAAAGATGGACAGAAGCGCAAACTATAAAATTTGTGGAATTATATGAAGAAGCAGAATGTCTATGGAATTTCCCAAATGAATTTACCGAATTTTGGTAAAAATGATCTTAAGAATAAAATCAAGAATATAAAAAGCACTTACGTCCAGGAAGTAAATAAAATAAAGCGTACAATTAAATCCGGAATGTCTCCTGATGAGGCGTATGTTTCGCATTTGCCGTGGTTTAAAACCGCCGATAGATTTTTGAAGCAAGTAATTAATACCAGGGAACAGGTGAGTTCTAAATGTCTCTGGATCCTCTAAAGTCACTTCTCTTAGAAACGTTTCAGAAGCACCAAACTTGTTACGGCGCTTTATCCACTCCCGAATCCACATTCGTCTAGGACGTCGCTTTTTTATAACTTGCAATTGGTTCAATTCGTTGATTAGTTTCTGTGCTGACAGAAATGTGGCGCGTTAGAGAAAACCTCTTGGTAAACCCTGACAAGGCACAACTCATAACCTTTACTCGGAAAACAAGGTTGGAGGTTTTAGAAACTCCGACTCTGTTTGGAGGAAGGCTAAACAAAACGAACCAAGTAAAATATCTGGGTCTAATCCTAGATAGCAAACTTACTTGGAACCAACACTTACAAAAAGTGACCAACAAATGTAAAATGTCTCTCATTAAAACCAAAAATGGTCCACTGGCTATATTTGGCAATAAAAAGACCCATGATAACTTATGGAGCGGTTGTTTGGTGGCCAAAAGTAAACCAGAAAACAGCCTTCAATACCCTCTCAGGAGTACAGAGGCTGACATGCCTTTTTATTACAGGAGCAGTGAGAAGTACACCGACAGCCTCTATGGAAATAATTCTAAACCTCCCACCCCTTGTCATAAAGGGGGAGGCCAGAATGAGTGCATACAGACTGGAAATCTCCAACAACTGGAACCCACTGGGACATATAAAACATACCAGAATAATACATGAAGTAAATGATTCTATATTAAATATGGGATCAGATCACATGACACCCCTCCTAACCTTTAACAGACTCTTCCAGGTCAACTGTAACTGGAACGAGGAAAAAAAGGAGATAGATAAATACTTGCTTAGCAGTCTCGTATGAAATACGGATGGATCTAAAACTAACAAGGGTACAGGCTCTGGCGTACATGGAGTTAAACCCCAATGCGACATCATCGTCTCACTGGGAAAACATGCCACTATATTTCAGGCTAAAATACATGCAATCGAATTGTGTGTACGAGATAATTTAAGAAGGAAGTACAAAAAACAAACCATCCTAATTCTCTCAGATATCCAAGCAGCTTTAAAGGCTCTTGAGTCAAACAGAATCAATTCAAAACTTGTCTGGAATTGCCTTGGAATACTAAATGATCTGGCAACCCACAACAAAGTAAAACTAGCGTGGGTACCAAGGCACAAAGGTATCCAAGGAAATGAAAAGGCTGATGAACTCGCCAAAGAGGGATCAGATCTACCATTCACAGGATCCGAACCTGTATTTGGGATAAGCAAAACCTCTGCTCGACAGGCAGTGAACAGGTAGATAACCACAAAACACCAAATTCACTGGCAACAGTTAAGAGGGAACATAATCAGTAAGATCATGCTAAGGGGACCAAACCTACGCATGACTACTGAGACACTACAACTCGCAAGGCCTCAGATATCCACCATTGTGGGATTACTAACGGGACACTGCTTGCTGAAACACCTTCATGTAATGGAATTACACAATGATCCCACTACGTGTAGACTTTGCATGGAAGAGGAAGAACCCTCATACCATGTGATCCTTTTCAGCCTAGAACCGGAAATAACGCCCCAGGAACACTTGGTTGGGAACCTATTAAAACTAACCAAAGACACAGGACTATTCGAAAGATAGTACCTGAATACGGGGGAAAGCAGGGAAATACAATAGAAAATGAAATAAAATGAATTTAGCTCAAAGCCGAATATCACATAAAATACAACGACCGTTTCCCCTTCCGAAAACAACTACTCCTTTGGCTAATACCACAACAGGCATTGAATTACATCCGAAGGAAAAACAGCAGAGATAGAAATTAATTTTCAACACTCTCTACTTCGATTTTGCTCACCAAGGAGAACATCATTCTTGGACCGGTTTCGTCCTTATTAGGACTCCTCAGCAAGAAATAGATAGGTTCTCAATTCCAGTCTCTAATGGAATTAACAAATGCTACACATTTCACCAGTATACCATAAAGTTGGTTACGGAGAGAATAAAATTCAAGTAGTGAAAATGGTGTCGCCATCTGTTCTTAGTTGTGTGTTGTGGTATTAGCCAAAGGAGTAGTTGTTTTCGGAAGGGGAAACGGTCGTTGTATTTTATGTGATATTCGGCTTTGAGCTAAATTCATTTTATTTCATTTTGCTACTATTACATTTGAGTTTTGATAATTTATTATCGTGTACAAATACAATAGACTCAAGAGGCCGCAGTGTTCTGGGCCAAACCTAACCCTACCTGCTTACAATCGATAAAGATAAAGATATGTGCAACAATAGCTATACCAGCACGCACAATTTCCGCCATTTTGTATTTTACTAAAACCAAGCTGGTAAAATTGTGTGTGTCAACAGAACTCGTGCGCGAGTTTGCTCGCATAGAGCGGTCTCGGCCGAGTCCACTAGCACGGTGTCAACGCACCTTTAGGCCCAACGGAAAGGGAATAGTCTTCGAATAAAAATACTTTTGAGGAATTCCTCTCGGTGGATAGTTAACAACAATAGCTTGACAGACTATGTGGAAACGTCTTTGTATGCGTTCAATTGAAGAAATCTGAACATCTGCATATTTTAGTTTAGACTGCACAAATGCAGAATAAAAGTATATTCATTGTTGAAACCTTTTCATATTAGGGATTACAAAACCTAATAAACGGTAAGCACTTGCGGTAGTTTTGTCAATATGTACAAATGTTAGTTTAGGGTTAAAGTAAACAACAAAATCTCATATAACTTATGGACTGATTAACACATCATTGCGTAATTTATAATTTTATGTTATGATTTGATATCTTCCTCAAAATGACATAACATTACACTTGCTGGCATTAAATGGTATTTGGTTCTCTGGGCACTAGTCATGTAATAAATGGATGATGCTATTCTGAAATTTAGCACAATCATTAGTAATTTTAATCTCACATATCAATTTTAGATCTACAGCATATAAAATATTTGTAACGTTGATGTTTTTAACGATATTTTTAATAAATAGGATGAACAGAAGTTGTCCTAAAACAGACACTTGCGGTACCCTAGAAGTTTGGTAAAAATTATGTAATTTGTGTCCTAGATACTGAACATATTGAAGACGATTTGATAGATAAGGTTTTAAAAATATTAGCAATGATACATTAAGGGAGAGTAAAGTTAATTCGTGCAAAAAAAGGCACATTTTTGTGAATTTTTTTTTGATGACACAGTTAAAATCTGTTTATTTAAACTAATGGTACATTAAAGTATAACATTCAAAGAATATTGTGTCAAATGTTCATGTAGAAATATTAAAAAATACGGAAATGGCAGCAATTATTATTTTATTCTTCAATCAGTATTCTGTGAAGAATATTATGCATTTGCTTCCGTCCGTCTGTCCGTCCGAAGTTACGCTTTTTGTCCGCACGATAAGTTAAAAATGGAAAATGATATCAATTTGAAAATTTGGGGAAAATCAAGCTCTATAAGGGAACGAAGTCTATTTATTTTGAATAAATCTGAATCAATATAGGGTGTTAAGGGGGTTAAAATATCCAAAAAATTCCTATCTTAAGAACGAAAAATGATTTCAACTTGAAATTTTTATAAGAAAGAAGCCTGCTGATTTTGAAAAAAAAAATAAAATAAGGGTTTAAGGAAGATTGAAATAAAAAAAATTATGTGTAATATAGAATGCCAAGCATTAAAAAAAAATACGTGTGGCACTCGGAGACTGCCGCGGTAAAGCTATTGCATAGCATTTTTTATCAACTTATGCAATTATAATTATTTATTTATTTTATTTATGCAGTATTTTTTTTTCTTTGATATTAATTCAAGTTTTTTCTTTGATATTCAAATTAGGTACACTTTTTGAGCGTGGTGACCGATAAGAAAACAATTTGTTTTCTTTTATTGAATAAATGAGAAGTTAATAATGTTTAAAATATTTTTAATATCTTACATTACACGGAGGTTAGTCAGGAATTTTTAACACTGAAACTATAGGTTTATGGTAACTGAAATAAGAAACATCAGTTTGAGACTTGATATGTTCTAAATTTCTGGAAAATACCGCGTCAATGGTGGTCCCATATTTTGTTGTGGATTCTTGTGGATCAATATTCATTTTCAAAATCAATTTTTCCGAAATTGTGTCTAAAAGAGATAGAATCAGTTATGAGCAGTTAGCAGCTAGTCTACACCAGTGTTGCCCACACCAATTAATTTTTTCGTAATAGAATTTTGAACCAAAAGGTAATAAAATCGTAATACATAATATTTTAAAGTAACAAAAGTATTAGAAATTAAAAATTTAAAAAAACCGACTTTAAAAATGTGCAGATGCCATCACCACATCTTAACTAAGTTTATATGGGACTACCCCTGAGGTACCCCCTTACTAACAAAAAAAGAATCATATAAATCGGACAAGGTGGTAAAGCATTATCGCTAAACATACATAAAAAATAAAGAGTTTGAGGATTTTCTCATGGACCCAATTATTAGATTTTGACCAAATTTATATGAGACCACCCCTGAAATAGTCCCTTTCTAACAAAAAAAGAATTATTGAAATCGGACACCACGTTAGAGAATTATCGCTGAACATACGTAAAAAAAAAATAGCGACGAATTGAGAACCTTTTTCTTTTTTGAGGTCGGTCAATAAATGTACCAGAACTATTATTAAATACATTTAACAATAAAACTTTAATATTATTTAGTTGAGAGAAAATTATTTCTGCTGCTGCAAAAGAATGGGGTAATTTTTTTTTTTTTTAATTTTAAACATTTAGTTCATCCACTGAATTTTTTTATTTTAAAGATAGTCCAAAATTCACTTAATATTTCTTCAAAGTCTTGAAGGGGTCTATGTTATTAAAAACAATACATAAATTATGCTGAAATGATGAAGGCTGGTGGTAATCACCTACTATTTACTAAACTAAAAACTGACCCATAATAAAAAAAAATAATACAATATAATAAAGTGACGCCTATCTTAGATTTGTTGAAACAAGAAAACAC